CCTCAGGGATCCATTCTCGGTCCGTTACTTTTTATTATATACACCATGGACATGGCAGTGGACGATAACCACTGCAAAATGCATAGATATGCCGACGATACCCAATTACATTTAAGTTTTAGAAAATCAGAAGCATACGAAGCCCAGAACAAAGTTGAACAGTGTTTAGAAAAAATATACACTTATTCCAGCAAGAACGGGTTAAAACTAAATCCGACAAAGTCAGTAATCGTTTACTTCGGACCAAATAATAACTGGGCGGCCCAGAACATGAAAATAAAAATGTGTGATTCGATTATCTCCGTAGAAAGGGAATCAAAATATTTAGGACTTATATTTGACTCACAGTTGAGGTTTAGATCTCAAGTGAGTAAAGTGACCAGGGCATCGTTCATCTCCTTAAGAAACCTATACAAAAACAAAGATTTTCTAAACTATAAATTAAAAAAGCAATTATGTGAGGCTCTTGTATTATCACAGTCCAATTATTGTAATTTTGTTTACGGGCCTTGTCTCGATCAAAAATCTAAGAGACAGTTACAGAAAGTACAGAATTCATGTATTCGCTTAATATACGGATTAAGATCGAGAGACCATGTTACATATAAACTAGATATGTTGAATTGGCTAAATGTTGAAGACAGACAAAAGTTACATTTTGCATGTTTTTTACACAGAATTTTGCGGAATGGTTTTCCTGAGTATTTAACTAATAAACTTAAATTTCGATACTCTAACTATGCTATAAGGCAGTGTAATAATATGGAAATTCCCAAACATCGCACGGCGCTATATCAGCGTTCTTTCTCCTACCTGGCAACCAAGATGTACAATTCCAACTTGAATCTATACTCCCTTGATTTAAAGACGTTCACTTTCAAAACAAAATTAAAAACTTATATGTTGAGCGGATATAGAATTACACAATAATTTGATTTATTAATTCTTGTATCCTTTACGGAACAATTTTCATTTTTTACTGTTTTTGCTTTAACTTATTAAGTTGTTGATTTTTCTTTATCTAAAGTATATTGTTAATTTTCATTTTTCTTACTAATTCTTTTTTCTTTGAATGTTATTTTTTAAGAATGTATTATATTATTTACTTTTTTTTATATGCTCGGTTAACTTAACAGCTCTGCTGAATTTCGCCGAGTAAAAAATAAAGACGTTATTTATTTATTTATTTATTTTATTTATTCCTAACAAATACAGGAGTTATGCAGGGATGTGTCTTAGCGCCTCTCCTATTCAACATATTCATGGCAGCGCTCTCCATTATAGTGGACAGCAAACTGCAGGAGAGAGGATTGGGCATTAGATACAGATACGACTGTAGTCTGTCCAACATAAAAAGACTGAGGACAAAAACACGTACAAAATTCATCACATAACTTCAATACGCTGATGACTGCGCTCTAGTTGCAAACACGTTACAACAATTACAAGAAATATTGAACACATATACCTGGACATTCGATGATTTGGGCCTTAAGCTAAGCATCGAGAAAACTAAAATCATGTGCACTCCCTCGGAAGATCAGAACAATGCTATAAAAATTGGAAAAGAACTACTGGAATATGTGGCGGAATTCAATTATCTCGGCAGTTTGATTTCGGAAAAGGCCAATATTGACTCTGAAATTCAGCACAGGATTAGCAACGCATCAAGAGCATTCTGGAAATTAAAAGACAGGGTTTTCTACAATCATGACTTGAGTACAAAAACGAAACTTGCATTGTACCGAGCGATTATAATCCCCACCATGTTATATGGGAGCGAAACCTGGGTGCCGCGCCGCGCCGTACCGCCGACACATGAACGCATTAAACAAGTTGCAACAGAGACACCTTAGACAGCTCTTAAGAATCCGGTGGTTCCATCATGTCTCAAACGTATCGGTCCTTGAAAAAGCTAACTGCGAGAGTATTGGAGTCATTGGTTACAAAATCCCGCTTAAGATGGGCTGGTCACGTATGCAGAATGCAAGAAAACCGCATACCAAAATCTCTGCTTTACGGTGAGCTTGTCGACGGTAAGAGGAGGCCGGGTGGACAACTGATAAGGTACAAGGACATTTTCCACGAAAACTTAAAGGGGATTAACATGCAGAATGAGTGGGAAGAAGCAGCTCACAATAGAACTCAATGGAGAAGAATTGTAAACTCAGTTAACAGCGACAACCAAAAAGTCAAAAGGCAACAAAGCAATGAGATTTTTGAATGTCCGGAGTGCGGTAGGCAGTTAACATCACGTATCGGGCTTTTCAGTCACAGAAAAGCTCATGAAAGGAAACGCCTTGCGTGACCATCCTTTGATGTGTGTCAAATACTCGTCAGCGAGTAATGGCAGTATGTAGGATACCGCGGGGTATTGGGAGCCATTGAGTATTGAGAGCCATTGTGTAATTTTGAATAATGCGCCCTGATCTGAGCACTGACAGTTGCGATACGCGGGATCCCCCATTAAATGTTTCCGAAAGCCACCACCGCTTTGTGTTGGTACGATTCAAAGTCTGTTAGAGAACGCATCGAGTTTACGGGACTTTCTTATAGCGTGCACGTTTTAAAAAATTAGTGTAAGTTGTATTTATATATTGCTTTAGAACAAAATAGCGGTGTTAAACAAAATCTACTGAAGTGTAGGTTCGATCTGTGCAGTTGTTTTGCTTCTGTTAGCGCATTTAATTTTGTTATTTTTAACTTGCAAATTTGTAAACAAACGGGGTAATCGAAGCCAGAGTGGCTCTCATTTCCCCCATGGTGTTTCAATTTTATTTTAGAATGTTATAAACATATTTCCTTATTTTATTTTAAAAAAGATAAATTTTGTTTCAGAATCATTATTCCAGACGTATTTTGTGTCTTTTGTTTTAACTAAAATAATTTATATTTTGTTTTAGGATGTTCCAAACATATTTGTAATTTTGGTTTCAACTGAAATAACTTGAATTTTTATTTTAAAATATTTCAGACATATGTATTTTTCTCTTGTGTTTTACCTAAAATAATTCAAATTTTGTTTGACAATGTTCTTAACAGATTTAAATATGTAAAATAAAGTGGCTTCAATTTCCCCACTGTTATGGGTAATGAGAGCCAATGATAGGTTTTAGCAAAGTTTTAGTTTTTCTTTTGCATACCAGTAATGTTTATCTAAAACAGAGAACTGATACTTATATTTTATTTTACACATCACGAACTATTTAGAAAAAGAAAATTGTTGCCAGCAGTGGAATAAGTAGTATTTTATTTCAGGTTTTCCTTAGGTGGCTCTTATTGTCCCGCGCTACCCTATGTAAGTATGTGAAGAAAAGAGCAACTCGGTGGTTGAAATATCTTAAAAGTTTTTAAAAGTTGGTTCCCTTTAAAGTCATTTCCGAAAAATATAGGGGTAATACAGCTTCCTACGATGTTTTCTTTGGGTATCTTAAAAACTACTGAAGCCGTAGGTATGGTAGGCTTATTTTGCTACTTTTTCAGACTACCTAGTGAAATGGACTCTTAACACTTATAAGTCAAGAGGCAAGATATATATCATTCAAATGTGCCAAAAAATGTTTCATGATTCCGTGTCTAATACATGAGTATAAAAATAGAATTTAATTCATTTCTTAGTCTTTTATTCAATGTGAGACACATAATAAATAAATAATAAAATTATATAAGTATTCTTGCCACTTAACTGCTGATATAGAAATTTAATTCTACGCTGTATTTGTCATAATGTGGATCAACCTGCTCTCACTACCGGTTTCGGAGCCCTACTCCATCATCAGGTGAGCTTGGGCAGATCCACAAAATGACAACCACAGCGCAGAGATAGTTAATTCCGACTTGTCGGAATGTGTCGGTTAGATATTAAGTCCCGAACGGGAGATAGCGGCCTGCGTGCAATGGTAGTACTTTCGTACCACCGAGGCGCAACTATCGATAGTAAAGGATGGTAAAAGGTTTTTTTTCAGGCAAGCCAAATTATAAAATAGAAAACAAATTTCTTGCAGTATAGGTATATAATAAAATTATATAAGTATTCTTGCCACTTAACTGCTGATATAGAAATTTAATTCTACGCTGTATTTGTCATAATGTGGATCAACCTGCTCACAACCATTTTGTGGATCTGCCCAAGCTCACCTGATGATGGAGTAGGGCTCCGAAACCGGTAGTGAGAGCAGGTTGATCCACATTATGACAAATACAGCGTAGAATTAAATTTCTATATCAGCAGTTAAGTGGCAAGAATATTTATATAATTTTATTATATACCTATACTGCAAGAAATGTGTTTTCTATTTTATAATAAATAAAATGCATGAGGTCGTCTGCACTCTCTATAGAATATGTTACTGTCAGAAGATCTTTGTCCGTAATTTATTGTCGAGAAGTGGACTTTTATAAATATTTAAGTTCTTTTAAGGATTAAGGAATAACTGTATTTAAACCTGGAACGGAAAAAGAAAGAAAAAACGAAGGTTGGAGGGGATAAATTCCACCGGGAAAGGGGAGTCTGCCAAAGGAAGCTGACACCGCTAATGGCTGCCGTTTCCTTAATTATCGCGCCGGTAAAAAGACGATTATCTTGTTATTTATTCAGGAGTGACAAATCGGGGCTTTTTCGCTGCGTAAAAAGTACAACAGTGTTTAACAGAAATGCGATTTTGTTTCGCTTAATTGCTTCACGGTTTTAAACAAACATCTGCCGATTTATCTTTGGTGCAATAAATTACAACACTTATTATTCGATCAGAACTTTTTTTTTCAAAAACGTAGTTATTAGTAAATTATAACGATAGTTTTACTTTATCATGTTCAGAAATATACCTATTTATTATAAAAGTCAACTTCCGGTATTTCCGGAACTGTCGCCATATTGCACGCTCAGCCTGGGACACCCTGTATATCTACTACTAAATAGAACGTAAATTGATTTTTAATTTCATTAAAAAATCGTATTATTACTAATTGATAAAAATAACCGTTATTTTCTTCTTTTCCAGGAGGTTCCACCAACGACGATCCCTCACCGCCCCTCTCGCCTCGCGACACCCAACCACCTACCTCCAGCCATCTTGAAAGCCGGTGTTCCCGACCCTCGTCCCCCTCGGACACCCACCGCTCACCTCCCGGCTCACCAAACCCTTCGCTGCTGCCCAGCTCGCATCCCGCCTACCTCGAGCCGGGCTACAGCCGCTCCAAGAGCCCTTACCGGGAGCAGGAGAACATGGTGATAGATGAGGAGATCGAGGACGACGAGAGCGACTACGACACGGATCAGAAGGAGAAGAAGCTGCAGAACGCGGGCATGAGCCCGGGCAGCTCGCTGTCGAACAAGAGGAAAAAGAAGACGAGGACGGTGTTTTCGCGGTCGCAGGTGTTTCAGCTGGAGTCGACGTTCGATATGAAAAGGTATGGGGAAAATGTTTATATAAAATATAGCTCTAAAAGGCTCAAGACTTAATTAGTAATATTTCTCCACTTATTTCTGTCATTCGCCTTTAATCTCCACAAATTACCTCTTATCTTTCTCAAATCCTCTTCAACATCTCTTTTCCATCTGTTTCTCGGTCTACCTCTCCTCTTTCCACCTAATATACAGGGTGGTCCGAACTGTATTCCGAAAGCTTCAGCAGCATACTCTGCAAATAAAAATTAGTAAAAAGTCCGTTTATTCTGCAGTAAAAATAAGTAAAAAAATTTCGTAGATACGGGGTGTATAAATTTCATTTTTATTTCGATTTTTTATAATACCGGGTGCGTCTCAAAAGTGGCTCACCCCTATAACTTTTTTATTTTTTCAGATAAAAAAAACGAGATTTGGTATGTTAGTATATGACATAAATTAGGATTGATTGGCGAATTCAATTGTTTTTGGTCACTTCCTGTTTGACCGGAAATAACTACAACTTTTGATTTTTAAATGGCACCCTCGGTGTTTTTTTTTACTTTATTCGGTAGAAAATTAAATTCTGAATAGAATGACATATCATATGTCAACTTTTGAAATTTTCGCTTAATAAAAAACCGTATTTTAAATTACAATCTAGAGTGCCATGGCTATGTTAAAAACACTAATTCTTAATCAAGAAGCCTTGCAAAAATAGATTTGATCCTCTAATATTTTTAATGTCTTGTGCTGGCCGGTTAAAAGATACCTAAATCGTATTTTTAATCATATCTCAATTTTTTGAAATGAAACGAGGGAGGCTCATTAGCATATTTGGAAAACGCATTTTTTCCGAATAATTTGATACCACACACTTGGTATTTCGAGTCAAATTGTCGTTATGAACCACATGTTAAAATTGCAAATAAACCATATGCGAGAATGTTAAAAATTGACATATGATATGTCATTCTATTCAGAGTGTTATTTTCTGTCGTAAGTAAAAAAATACCGAGGGTGTGCCATTTAAAAATCAAAAGTTGTAGTCATATCCGGTGGAACAGGAAGTGACCGAAAACAATTGAATTTGAAAACAATTTACGTCAATCAATCCTAATTTATGTCATGTACTAACATACCAAATCTCGTTTTTTTATCTGAAAAAATAAAAAAGTTACAGGTGTGAGCCACTTTTGAGACGCACCCGGTATACACATCTTAACTCTTATTTTTGTCAAGTCCTTTTCAACGTCCCTTTTCCATCTGGTTCTCGGTCTACCTCTACTCTTTCCACCTATTTCACGTCTCATTATTCCATTCTTTCAGTTTGTTCCCGCCATATCAATCTTTGTGCGCTTGCTCTAAGTGTCTTCTTTTTTTTCCATAACAAGGGGCCGTCCTCTGCCGGAAACACTGCGACCTGTGAGGCCTATTGTGTTTGTCCCTCTTCTATATCTGCACCCATTCTCCTATTCCTGTACCCTGCACAAGCTTATGCAGATCCTTGATAGGATGGGAGCATAGTCCCTCCGGTTCTAGCCTAGCTTTCCCTAATAAAAAGTATCGGTTGCGATCCAGAGCCTCGCAATGACATATTATGTGCTCCGCAGTTTCAGGATCTTTATCGCAGAGTCTGCAGCAAAGACTTCCTTGATACAGGTTGAACTTGTTCAGGTAACACTTGACAGCCATGTGTCCTGTCAAGAGGCCTGCTGTAGTCCGCACTTTATTCCTGCTAAGCATTATCAGTTCTTTTGCGATTTTAGAGCTAGGCCATTGAATAAAAGCCTTGCTGTGCCTGTGCCCCTGTCTGTTTCTCCAATGGACATTGTGCTTTTCCCTGATCCAGAGTTTTAGTGCACTACAGGCCATACATTTGGGTATTCCCAGTACTGGCTCTGGATCAAGATAGGATGCCGATGATCCCTGCCTAGCTAGCTTATCGACTTTTTTGTTGCCTTGGATGCCGCTGTGGCCCGTCGAATTTATGTAAGACATAAATTAAAACGTATTCAGTTGTTTTTTATCGTTTCCTGTTTTACCGGAAATGACTACAACTCTTGATTCTAAATGGCACCATCGATATATTTTTACTTTATTAGATAGAAAATGACACTTTATATAAAATGACATATCATATGTCAACTTTGGACATTTTCGCATATGGTTTATTTGAAATTGTAACATGCGATTCATAACGACAATTTGACTCGAAATACCAAATGTGTGGTACCAAATTATTCGTAAAAAATCTTTTTCCAAATATGCTAATGAGCCACCCTTGTTCCATTTGAAAAAAATGAGATATGATTAAAAATACAATTTGGGCATCTTTTAACCGGCCCGAACGAAAAATATTACACGATCAAATCTAATTTTCCAAGACTCCTTGATTAATAATTAGTGTTTTTAACACAGCCATGGCACTCTAGATTGAAAATAAGCCAGGGCACTCTAGATAAAATTCAATTTTTTTAAGCTTAAAAATGTACCAATGGTGATACTTAAAAATCAAAATTTGTAGTCATTTACAGTGAAACAGGAAGAGAGACCAGGGCCCGTATTCTGTAACTTTGAAAACGCTAAGCGCTTTTAGACGCTCAGCGTATATGACGTTAATTTTCGCTGAGGGCGCACTTAATTAACGATTTCGGTATTCTCGTCTGACGCGCTTAGCGTCTTTACTGATTGTTCTGGGCCCGTATTCTGTAAGTTTGAAAACGCTAAGCGCTTTTAGACGCTCAGCGTATACGACGTTAATTTTCGTTGAGCGCGCACGCTCTTAATGATTTCGGTATTCTCGTCTGACGCGCTTAGCGTCTTTACTGATTGCGCTGAGCGCTTTGAAAACGGTTGCCTTAAAGGATCGTTTTGCTTGTCGAACTGTCAGTGAAAAGCAAAAAAATTGTGATTTTGTGCGTTATCTTGCTCTTTAGTGAAAATTACTACTTCTTCTATAAATTCCTCAATAAGTAATTGATAATTTAGGACTTGGCAGCTATAAATATTGTTCAAAACATCGAAAATGCTGAGAAACGTCTTCAACACTTCCCTCGTATAATAAGAATAATGACATATCCATAGAAAAATAGCTTGACATAACTCAACAATAGGTTATGAAATTCACGTAACATTGACATTTTTCATTGTTACATCCGTCAGTTATCAACTTTTGACTATTACCTACATTAGAAGTGATGTTGCCATAGCTTTTGTCGTTTTCCTGTTATTACCTTTGAATAAGAAGACTAAGGAAGGAGCATATCAAAAATCTTAGGTACACCGCGATGGGCCTCAAATATGGCCGACTTAAATTCCGGTTTATCAGTGTCGTTCTAATTTTATTTAAAAAATGTAAAACCATGATGTAGAGTAGACGTGGGGTAGACTCAATAATTTGTTGTTTTATTTTACGTTGTGAATAAATGTTGGTAGTTATTAAAATTGTTATAAAAATATATAATTCTAATAAAAATAGATAAGTTATAATAAGTATTTATTACCACAAACATCCGATACGCTACTGAAGCAGGTAAGTCAAATTAACGTATCTAAATTATTTGACATCTAATCTTTGACAAGTAATAAATAAAAGCTAAAATGCAAGACAAATATATAATTTAGTTAATTTAAGTGAATTTCATAAATGATCAGTTTACTACACGTATGTATATTATATAGTCACTTACTAGCGAAAAGAGATCTTACTAGCGAAAACGAGATCTACCGCACGCTACACAACCAACTATTTTAGAGTCTTTTTCGATAAATCGCGATAGTGTCACTGTTAATTTAAGTGCTGCCACAATTTCCATCTAGATTTACTACCTTTATACAACTATCAGTAGTAGAATAAACAATAAATAACATAAAATAAGCTCCGTAAAGACTGACAAATCCACAAAATTTCAAATCAAATTCAAATGTGTCAAATGAATCGTCAAACAAAACTGTCAAGGATCCCCACCCTAGAGTGCTTTTATGGTGCTTTTTCCGCCCACCATGCATGAATACATGGATAGCATATTATGCTCCTTCCTTAGTCGTCTTATTCAAAGGTTATTACCGATTCTGAACCATCCTAGAACTGTGATGCGTATGCGCAGAAGGAAATATGAAGACATTATTTCATTCTAGGAGTTCTAGGACGGTTCAGAATCGGTAATAACAGGATAACGAAAAAGCTAAATATGTGCTCAACGCGTATCCAGAACACGATTCGCATGGCAACGAAAATACCAAAATCGACTGCCTTGCGTTTCGCTGATCGAATACTTGCGCTCACCGCTTTGAAAGCGTAACGTTTTTATGTCAAAGTTACAGAATACGGGCTCTGACAACTGAATACGTCAATCAATCCTAATTTATGTTATACAGGGTGGCCCATCGAAAACGTTCCGCAAGGCATAACGGCCAGGGTAATTTTTTTTTTTCAGAAAATTCAAAAACACGTCAATTTTGTTTGTGAGGGGCACAACTTTTTCCCCAAAAATTATTGAAAAATATTCAACCTCTAAGCGGGGGTGTCATCCCCCGATTTTTTTCAAATGGGAGGGGGGTCAAGTGGTACCGCAATAAAAAGGGCTTTCTCTTCTCTATACTTTCCTGCTTCGTTTTTGAAGATCGGTCGAGTCGTTGGGAAAATATGAAGGATTGAAATTTGAAAAGTTTTTTAAACATTTATCCGAGTAAATGATAAGGATAAATTCCTTCGAGGAATTTGCTGTTTTTACTTAGTATTTCTAGATGTTTGCAATCGGGTTGCGCAGATATTCAATGAACGCCATCCTGACAAACACCTTTATGGCAAAATTGTTCGCCAGTTAGTAGCAAAATTTCGCGAAACTGGTTCCGTTATGAATAAAAAGAGGCAGAGGGAAAATCCTGTAGTAAATGAAGTTATGGAGGTATTCGTATTGGGCCAAGTTGCCATGAACAGTATTCTGACTACAAGAAAATTAGCCAATGAGACCGGCGGGAATCGTACAAGTTTCCAAAGGATATTAAAAAAACACAAGTTCCACCCGTACAAAATTCAGTTGGTACAAGAACTCAACGAAGACGATTTTGATCGTTGCTTGCAATTTTGTGAAGCTGTGAGTGAACGAGTGGCGAATGATAATAATTTCCTATTTAATGTGTGTTTTTCGGATAAGTGTACTTTCTTTTTGAACGGTGTAGTTAATCGGCACAACTGTCGGTACTGGGCTGAGGACAACCCCAGGGTTTTTCACGAGGTGCACACACAAAACCCTCAGAAATTGAACGTGTAGGCTGTTATTTTTGGAAATTCTATTGTAGGTCAGTTTAACGATATTGAGAAGAACTTCAACGTACAAGTCACAGAACAGCTATCTAGCAACTACCGCACCTGATCGTTCAACATTGTGGCAAGTAAAAAAATGCGTAAACATCTAGAAATAATAAGAAAAAACAGCAAATTGGTCGAATTTATCCTTAATTATCATTTACTCTGATAAATGCTTAAATAAACTTTTCAAATTTCAATCCTTCATATTTTCTCAATCACTTGACCGATTTTCAAAAACGAAGCGGGGAAATATAGAGAATAGAAAGCTCTTTTCATTGCGGCGCCTTTCCATTTGAAAAAAGTTGGGGGATGACACCCCCGCTTAGAGGGTTGAATATTTTGCAATCATTTTTGGGGCAAAAGTTGTCCCCCTCACAAACAAAATTGACGTGTTTTTGGATTTTTTGAAAAAATAAATACCCTGGCCGTTATGCCTTGCGGAACGTTTTCGATGGGCCACCCTGTATAGTAACACACCAAATCTCGTTTTTTTATCTGAAAAAATAAAAAAAGTTATAGTTCTCACCAAGAGGTCTAACTAGCATTTTCTAAATTTTAAAGGAGAAATACCCTGGCATTTCTTAAATCCGGAAAACGTAAATTTGAAGTTTGAAAGATTTGAAATTTGAAGTATTCTTATTTTGATTTATTGTGCCTACTTATTGATTTTCTATATCATTCGCTTCCTATCAATGAAACACTACTTGTTTTAAGTTCAGTCATTGGGTTATACTACGCCTTCTTCGGTTAAAGGAAGCCTTACCCCAACTACTAAAGTATTAATACCAGAAAAAATATATCGAATGTCATTAATCGCTTGTAATTTGTCATCACCTATTTATTTTCAAGCGGCTTAAGTAGAAAATCGATCAACTAGGTATACTATATTGGTTTTAAACGTTTTAAATGTCACATCTTATTAGAATCGATTCCACGAATATTAATAGTACCTACCTAATATTTGTTGGATATTGTGGGAATTTACAAATACATAATTAGGCACTTTTTGTTGAAAGTACCTAATAAATATCTTTTGATAGATATTTTATGCATGCTATAATAAAAGGGTTTGTCAACACCTTGTACATTACTTTTTAGAATTAATTTTGGTGCTACTTTCAAGCCAGAGAAATAAACTTTATTAAAAAATTTGATTGCTTCCTTAAATGTATACAGGGTGTAGCGTTTTTTATAACAACTACCACTGCGAACGGCAGCTTTTCATCGGAGAGCAGTCGTGGATAAGGTATTTCACTGGAAAGAAAACTATTTAATAACAATAAACAAAAAAATACAGATATTGGGCGCCAGGCATGTACAGAGAAAGAAAACACAGTTGTATATTACTTAAAACTAATGACTATATTTATTCATGATGGACTGTGATGGTAAATAGCATTGTACAATTTTAATAATTATTATAGTAGTTATATGTCAACGAAAGTGGTGTTAAGAATTGTACTAAATATCTATGAAAACAACTATGATAAAATACAAGACATGTAACGTTTAAGAGAATATATGAAATGTAGCATTACTTTAATTAATTTGATATATTTTATATGATGTTAGTGCAGTAATAATATCTATAAAAAAGTAATACTATTACAAGGCGTAATGTAATGAAACCTAAAATCTAAATCATATTGTAACTACTAAATCGACATAAATGTTCTTAATAATCTAACCACTAAATATAGTCTGTACGATATCGTTTAAAATGTACGTTAAGTTAAGACTGAAAACCAGAACCTAAATCTACACTTAGCTGTTCTTGAGGCAATCCTGTTTCGAAGAGTAGCAGCGTGAGGTAGGCTCATATCTCTGTACTGTCTGTCGGCGATCCTGTTGGCCAAAATAACAAAAGGGGCCAGAATGAGGACACCATGAATCACTACAGCCGTAGCTACTGACTAGGCTTAGAAATGGGAACGAAGCAGCATGGGGCTTACGCTGTGTCCATACTGTGACAATATGGGGACACTAAAACCTGTAAATAGTCCGTACCTTGGACCCTCGAATTACTTCCGAGGGCTCACTAAATAATAAAGAATATGTCCTTTCTTCCATGTGACATTCTGGAGGACAAAAGAAAAGGGACGCCAACGTGCCAGCAAAATACAAATACAAGTTAGGTTGGGACATCCAAAACTCTACCCTGTTGCTTTGAAATAGCAGCTGATTCAGATTATACAGCAAGATTTAAATAATCACCATTTCTAAAAGCCGGGATGGTTAGGTTAGGCTACAGAGCGCTAAAAGCAAAAGTCAGTCGACAGCATAGAGAGTTGACAGAAGCGATGTTGACAGCGCCTCCACAGAGCGATAACAGGGTTGTGTCAAACGATAACAAGGTTGTGGACTAGAGAACGTAAAAATTACACGTCAAATAAACTATCCGGCCTGAACGAGAGGGAATCCGGTGATGATAGGCCAGACACTATATTATATATAAAAAAGACATGTAACGAACTAAAAACGTTACAAGGGGTATCAAAAATTGCTGATCGATTTTAATGATTTATTCTACATAAAAACTTTATTATTTCAAATACAACACTATGTATTTTTTTAAATAAGCCGAAGCAGATTTAAATACTCTTTCAAACTATATTAGGGTTTGCTATACATATCTAGCTCAGATTTTGAATAAAATACGATTTTTCAGTAAAACTGTAATCAAGATGACTTGTATCGCGATGGCAATTTTCTAGTAACACTAGTTTACTTTATCAAGAAAAATAAAGAAGTAATTCTTTGATTTATATTACGATAGCTTGTAGATATATTGGATTTTCTATAAAAGAACGAATTAAGGCAAATTAATTTTCTTCACTTCCAACGACAGGTTTCTGCCTAATAGGTTTTTCATCAGCTCTGCGAAATAGGAAAAGTAGTTTTTCAAAGGAACGCTTATTAGGAAGATTCCTATTTGGATATCTTTGAGCATATAAACCCTTCAGGCCTTGTTGGCCCTTCAGGCCAACAAGCAATTGTCCTCACAAAATAAGATCACTAGTAACATATGCAAGTCGCTTTTTATTCAAAATCTGAGCCAGATAGATATAGGAAACCCTAATATAGTTTGAAAGAGCATTTAAATCTGTTTCGACTTGTTTAAAAAAATACATAGTGTTGCATTTGAAATAAAGAAGTTTTTATGTAAAATAAATAGTTAAAATAGACCAGCAATTTTTGATACCCCTGTATACATTTAAGGAAGCAATCAAATTTTTTAGTTAAGTTTATTTCTCTGGCTTGAAAGTCAGCACCGGAATTAATTCTGAAAAGTAATGTACAAGGTGTTGACAAACCTTTTTATTATAGCATGCATATTTAAATATCTTTAAATATCTCAAAAACCAAAGCTTTTAGACATCTCAAACCCTTATAATAAATGCCTTATTTTATGTCCAAGAATCCAAAAATGAAATAAAATACCGGGTGTTCCATAAGAAAAAATATAACTTTGGTATGGATCTTAGTTCTGACACACCCTGTACATTTCAAGATAATTTTAAATTATGCACATTGCCTTCCAACATATACCCATAAAATAGTATGTTTCTACATCTTTTCGTTTTCGTATAATCAACCGAGGCGAATGGGGTGCGCCACGCTGTATTGGCCGATATTGAATTATTTAGGCTATCAGCATTTAAGAAAATAAGTTAGTCTTCATCATTATAACCAGTAATCAACTCATATTCGGCTTTAATTTCTTCTAGCTTTGTGTTCATCTTTAATATACAACCCTTCAAATCTTCATGCATACACATGTCTAAAATTCGTCTTTTTACATATTTCAGTGTCTCTTTTCATATCTCTTTTACTTGTAATTTGAGTAAAGTTTTTTTAAAAGGTAATTTGAGAAAAAAAAATAATATCTAGTTTATAATTGCAATGCTGAGACACCTTAACTACACAATTATTTGTTTTACATGTTTTATTTATCTTGTGGCCTTTTTATAATATCCCTACTATTTATAATATAATTTCACATAGACTTATAAATATTTCATTGTTTCAGGTACCTTTCATCCTCAGAACGAGCCGGTTTAGCGGCCAGTCTTCACCTCACCGAAACACAAGTGAAAATCTGGTTCCAAAACCGACGAAACAAGTGGAAACGTCAACTAGCCGCCGAACTGGAAGCTGCCAACATGGCACACGCTGCCCAGCGCCTAGTACGAGTCCCCATCCTATACCACGAGTCTGCCAGTTCCCCCATCAGGCACGCCTTCGACCAAAACCACAGCCTAGCTCTGCATCCCTCGCTAGAAGGCAGAGAAGGCCCTGGCACAGCTACCTCTTCAGCGTACTCCAGCTCATTGTACTACCACCACCAGGCGGCCGTAGCGGCCGCAGTTCACAGCCTGCCCTCGAGTCCGGTGAATAGGCCCCCCATGTCGGGGCTGGTCTGAGATTGACAGTGACCGGGTGGTGGTCAGTTGGGACGCCGCCCTCGATCGCGACAACAGCCCCTGAAAACGATTGAATTGGGGGTTTTTGGCGGAAGTGTCCCGCCCTCAAGTGCAAATAGTAACGTAAGGACAGCTTGGTGTACATATTTTTGTATCTATATTTATTTATTGTAGCTTTTGTTGTAAATAATGTGATCGAGCGGTCGCCGTGTAGTTACCCAGATATGCCAAAAATAATCTAGGAAATATATTTGAATGTACTTGTGTAGCTAATTCTAATCGTTGTTAATGCAAATAAATCATTATTAGAAAAATACGTCAGAGTTTTATTCATCAACTTCTATGTTTATTCGTGAATTCGAAACGAAGAAACGAATTATTTAAATTCAGAAGAGTTTAATATAATTCCCAAATATCCAATATCTAAATAAATGAAATAATGGCGTGTTAGTTACACCATTTATAACTGAAGAATGGTTGGACCGATTTATTCTCTGATTTATTGGATTCGTTTCATAACTATTAAAATATCGGAAAAATCACAAAAAAATTATACAGAAAATATTTATGAAATAAATTAGGTTCAAAACGTCATCTTTCGCAATTGACAGCTCACGTGACGCACGCTTACACAAAATGATCGAAAAAAAAACGGCGCCAGCAATGGCTATGAAAAGAAGGTTGCAGTCATTTTATATTGTTACGTGTTTCGTCGGTTCCGTGTGGATAGAAAGTCTAATTTATTTAAACACAATTTATTTTACACTAAGTAATAATTACAGTAACTATAAAGATAAAAATCACCACCAGCAGTATTGTCTAGCATAATGGAAAGTACCTTTACAGGGCACGGGAAACCAGGAATTTGACACTATCGCTAATCGCTTTGGCATTAAAATGTGTGTAAGAATAACAAATTTCAAAAAAAAATGTTAACCAATATTCTTAAGAAATAATCAAAATAAATTATTTGTATTTACCCTTTCGAGGGCTATAACTTCTTCTATTGTTTTATTTTTATCTATAGAATCACCCACCGAAGTTAGATACATTATTTTGTTGACACCCTGTATATTAAAAGGCCACAGAAAAGATCAGAATAGCTATAAAGGCGTGAGTGTGAATTACACCTTCAATAGACTATTTGCAAAAATAATTAAAATATAATCTGGAAATATCTACCTACAACAAAGTTAGTGAAGAACAGAGTGGTATTATTGCAGGGCGTTCATGTATAGATAATTTATTTACTATTCAACAACTAAAAGAGATAAAAGTACACAGTAAACACATGATCACTGCGCTAAATCACTGTCTCAGGTAATTTTTCCATCTACAGGCCTTCGACAAAGATGTAGAAATTTATGTTTGGAGGTGGTCCTTAGAGACTGGAAGAAAAGATATGGGAGATGGGAATCTCTGTAGAAAATAAATGTTTAATTACAATTAAGTGGTGATCAATCAAACGGGTTTTCGTACCAACCGTGGCACCGTCGATTCCATGTTTTCCATCCGTCAACTACAGGAGAAAGTAAAAGAGCAGCAGTCTAAACTTTATGTTGCATTCATCGATCTAACAAAAGCCTTCGACTCTGTAAACAGAGATGCGCTTTGGGCAATTATGAAAAAGTTCGGAGTACCCAACAAATTTCTAACAGAGTGTAAAAGCCTCCATAACAACAACAAGTCAAGAGTGTCACATCATGGATCACTGAGCGACCCATTCCTAACAAATACAAGAGTTAGGCAGGGATGTGTCTTAGCGCCTCTCCTATTCAACATATTCATGGCAGCGCTCTCCATTATAGTGGACAGTAAATTGCAGGAGAGAGGATTGGGCATTAGATACAAATTCGGTCTGTTCAACATAAAGAGACTCAGGGCAAAAACACGTACAAAATTTATCACAGAACTTCAATACGCTGACGACTGTGCTCTAGCTGCAAACACGGTCCAAGAATTACAAGAAATGTTAAACACATATACCTGGGCATACAAGGCTTTGGGCCTTAAGCTGAACATCGGCAAAACTAAAATCATGTGCACTCCCCCGGAAGATCACAACAATGCTATAAAAATCGGAGAAGTACTATTGGAATATGTGGCGGAATTCAATTACCTTTGCAGTTTGATTTCGGAAAGGGCCAATATTGACTCTGAAATTCAGCACAGGATTAGTAGCGCCTCAAGACCATTCTGGAAATTAAAAGACAGGGTTTTCTACAATCATGACTTGAGTACAAAAACAAAACTTGCAGTGTACCGAGCAATTATAAACCCCATCATGTTATATGAGAGCCAAACCTGGGTGCCATACCGCCGACACATGAACGCATTAAACAAGTTGCAACAGAGACATCTTAGACAACTCTTAAGAGTCCGGTGGTTCCATCATGTCTCAAACGTATTGGTCCTTGAAAAAGCTAACTGCGAGAGTATTGAAGTCATGGTCACAAAATCCCGCGTTAGATGGGCTGGTCACGTATGCAGAATGCAAGAAAACCGCATGCCAAAATCTCTGCTTTACGGTGAGCTTGTAGACGGTAAGAGGAGGCCGGGTGGACAACTGAAAAGGTACAAGAACATTTTCCACGAAAATTTAAAGGGAATTAATATGCAGAATGAGTGGGAAATATCAGCTGACAATAGAACTCAATGGAGAAGGGTTGTAAACTCAGTTAACAGCGGCAACCAAAATGTAAAGAGGCAACAAAGCAATTAGATTTTTGAATGTCCGGAGTGCGGTAGGCAGATAACATCACGTATCAGGCTTTTCAGTCACAGAAAAGCTCATAAAAGAAAACGCCTTGCGTGACCATCTTCTTTATGTGTGTCGAATACTCGTCAGCGAGTAACGGCTGTATGTATGTATCAGTGCTCAGGATGCTTCCGACTATGAATTCATGTTGAGTAGATTAAACTCGGCATACAAATGAGGCAACATAGATTGCGATACAAGGAATACCTGGTGACCAATTCAGCTGCTAAATTTGATATTTTCATTACGGATGACTCAAAAGTAGATTGAATGGTTTAAATATTAGGAAGCACGTGTTTTAAGTATGAACATGACTGAAAAAAAAAACAGAACTGTTATCTAGGATAGAACAAGGACGAAAGATTAGAGAACCATTGAATAACATCTGGTGAAACAGACACATAAGACCTAATACAACACGTCACATTGGAAAAGATGTGAAGAGGGGTCTCTTCAGATCTCTGGAAGGAATCTGTGATCTGGAGGAATCTGTGATGACATGAACGTAAAGGTTGGTCATTAAGAGCTAAATAGAAGATCATGGAATGAAGCCATTAATAGGGCAATCGGGAACCGTGATTTGGAAGAGTAAGATCTTCGAAAAATAAAAGTTCAATAGACAAACATTGTACCTACTACTCTTCATGTCATATATTTTAAAATTATCTTCAAAGTACAATAAAGGTATTGAAAAGAGGTGACAACGAGTGCTTTAATTTGATGCATAAATTTATACAAGATATAACCTAATACTCCACACGAGTTACTACATATTGTAGTTAATTTTCCGCAACATTAGTCCAGCAGCGTCCCCATCCACCACTGGAAACGCAATCACTGCTGCGGGAGCACAAGAAACACGAGACACCCCCTCGAAGCGACGGAGGGCCAATCTCGCCCTTATCGGTCGCATCAAATCATCGGAAAAGAGTCCCGATTGCTTTTAATTCCCGTTTAACTTTAATCAGGGCCCTTCGAACATCTGGTACGCTCGGCGCGCAGTCTCCTCAGGGCATTCGATGGCGGGCCCTATTTCGACCTTTGACCATAAATACGCATAGAGTCTAGAGACTTTATAGTGGGGAATATAACAAAGCCAACAATTTTAATGGTGTTTTTTTGGTCTTTTTTAATGTATCTTCGTTGTTTCCAAGTGGCCAATTTGATATAGTTTGTGCTACTTGAGAGCATTACTGACTGGTCTCGACAATAAAGCGGTCACTGAATATAATATTAAATTTACATAGTTCTCCTTTATAATCGTTTTCCGTCCATTAACTTTATCTATAAAATTGAGAACGATAGATGACCGTTTTTAATTGTATTAGTTATTATAAATACTAAGAATTGCCTGGAATTTGATTATCTATAGAAGAATGGGTATATCATGGGTACTTTGATTTTATTTGCGGCTGCTCTAAATAATACATTCGACGTCATTCCATACCATTCTCTGAGTTTCTTCAGCCAGGATGTTCGTCTTCTGCCACGATTACATCCTCCTTGGATTTTTCCTTCGAGTATATTCTGGAGTATTTGGTATTTAGGATCTCTTATAACATGTGCAAAATATTCTAATTTTTTCCTCTGAAGGGTTTTATGTATTTCTTCTTCCTTGTTTATACGGCGTAACACCTCGATATTTGAAACTCGGTCGGCCCAAGAAATTCGTAACATGTTACGATAACACCACCTGTCAAAAGCCACCGCCAGCCAGCCAGTTTGTTAATTTCGTTTTATTATTTCGTTTTAAGGGTCCACGCTTCGGCACTATACATTCTATACAATAAGGTCGAAAACACGTAGCATCGGAGTATTCTTATTCTTAAATCTAAGTTTATATCTCTACTGCAAAGAAATGTATTTAACTTTTATTTTTTTTAAAGAATTTCTGACTATCTCAATCCTGGACTTTATTTCTTGCAAATGTTCCGCAGTTTCATTTATTATTGTACCCAAGTATTTGTATTGTTGGACTTTTTCTATTGGCGTGCTGTATTAATATTGAAGTAGTTGTTACATTTTGGTCTTTTGTAATAATAATCCACCAGAAATACCACTACACGCAGTTATATTTCTAATGAGTCTTATTATGGTGTTGAACATAAGATGACTATAGTCTGTCCCAAAGAATATACCTAGCTAGAAAGAGTATGGACTCTGCCATACTGAAAAATGGTCCTACAGAAGTGGCGCCATCTATTGAGTAGGGCTTGTTTTAAATGGATCGAAGCGCGGGCTTTTTAAATGAGCGTATTTATTGAATGGTCTGTCCAACGACAAGATCCTTGACAGTGATAGATGTATCTGTCATTTTAATTTCAAAGTAGTTTATTTTATTTTATAAAGAAACTAGCGTGTACCAGCGACTTCGTTCGCGTCGAATTAATCATTTGTAATGGTGATGATAAAGCAAAGCAAGAATTTCCATTAACATATAAACTGGATAAAATTTTCTCACATTTATGTCAGCATGAGA